TAAGATATGTACATTGTGTTTTTAGACAAAATGCTATTGCACACTTAATAGACTAAACGTAACTTTTATATGCATTGGGGAAACTGAAAAACTTTGCGTGACTCATTGTATTGTGATATTTGCTTTATTGCAGTGGTCTGGAACTGGACCTATGATATCTCTTATGTATGCCGGTATATTGTTTTCTAGCCTCTTTAGAAGATGAAGGCAAGTGAGAAGGGAGCTGGGAGTGAGTGTCCAGTGAATCCTATTCATCTCTTCAACCACAGTCTTCTTTTAAACTCATCAGTGTGTGTCTTTGTGGGGGTTGGTACTTTGATGGTGTCATCGCGTTTCCATTTGGGAACCCTTAATGTAGAGGAGGCTTGGGTCTTATGAGTCTTCTGATTCATTGACTGAGAAAGTGGTGAAAAAGCTCATATGAATGCATTGACGGTTTTAGATGAATTTGTAATTTTATTAGTAATATCTACATATATATTTAACCATCAGTTACATATTTATGGGTAAGATGTAATTTCACCCACAGTTAAATGCATGGCACCCTGTGGATTCATGGAACTCTTCCTATGAGCCTGCCATTCCTCATAAGTCACTGCTCCACAGCACACCAGTCTCCTTTCTGAAACACAGACATGTCCATGTCACCACAGCCCTGCTCAAAAATCTTTCTTTTCTTTTTCTTTCTGTTTTCTGCTTGGAGGAGTTTTATTCAAGGCACTTTGCAAATGGCCCAACCAGCCTCTGACCCAATCTCTGGACACTGTCCCTGTGGCTTCGCGCCAGCCTCAGGAGCTGCTTTGTTATGCCTCTGAGCCTGCACACGCTGTCTGCACGGATTGTTTTCCCCTCGTTTCCACCTGCTGAAGAGCGGCTCATGCTTTAGACCACATCTGATGTCATGTTCTGCATGTGGCTTTCCCCGGGGCCCTGAGGGAGAGTGGGCGAGCCCTCCTCTGGCTCCCATAGCCCACTATTTACCCCTCAGTTATGGTGCATTGCCAGTTTATTGTGATTGTTTGTGGGTTCACTTGGGAACCATTCTCATTCATCTTTCCATTTCTAGGGCCAAGAATGAAACCTGGCACATTGAGGGAATTCAATATGTGTTTACTGAATGAAAAAAATGAAGGAATAAAAGGGGATGTGCAGACATTTTATTGTAAGGTCTTCACTTAGATCAGGTGTAAGAAAACAGGCTGCTTGTTCTTCCTCCCAGAACCAGACCTTCATTAACACAGAACTGAACTTCATTAACACAGAGCCAGACTTCATTAATAGGACCGGATCTTATTAAGATATATGTTTAGGGTCTTTAAAAAACAAAAAAAGCTGTCTTGTCTTTCAGGGGCTTGAGGAATCTGTTTCCTGCCACTGATCCACTTTAATTTTCTCCTGATAGACACAAAAGCAGTTTGGATGGACACCCCAAGGGAGGTCAGTTATGGCATGGGCATTGAAAGAGCTGTTTGCTGACCCATGGGTGTCCTTGCTGTAGGCTCAGGGACCCATGTGAGGCACTCCCTCTTGTGTGTGATATTCTTTTGATCTTCCTGGCAGAGCTGTCCTTCTGGTACAACAAGCCAGGGTGATTTCTTCCATGGTGGGCTGCAGGTGGCTGGCCAAGGTCTCAGGGAGGTATCCCCATGTGCGCACAAATCCATTCTCCATCTGCCTATCCCATGCATGATGTGTGTTAGCTAACACTGCTTCTCACTCCTTCATGCCCATCCTCATACCTCATGACTTTTTGTGTGAATTAGAAAAAGCCAGCCTTTTGCATAGACAAAGCTGCATGGTGCATGGCTTAGTGACCTGACAGTCTTTTAAAAAATTTTTATTTATTGTTATTTTATTCTATTTTTATTTTACTTTAAGTTCTGCTATACATGTGCAGAATGTGCAGGTTTGTTACACAGGTATACGTGTGCCATGGTGGTTTGCTGCATCTGTTGACCCATCCTCTAAGTTCCCTCCCCTAAATCCCCACCCCTCAACAGGGCCTGGTGTGTGTTGTTCCCCTCCCTGTGTTCTCATTGTTTAACTCCCACTTATGAGTAAGAACATTGGTGTTTGGTTTTCTGCTCCTGTGTCAGTTTGCTGAGGATGATGGCTTTCAGCTTCATCCATGTCTCTGCAAAGGACATGATCTCATTCCTTTTTATGGCTGGATAGTATTCCATGGTGTATATGTACTACATTTTCTTTATCCAGTCTATCATTGGTGCATATTTGGGATGGCTCCCTGTCTTTGCTATTGTAAATAGTGCTGCAATAAACATACATGTGCATGTGTCTTTATAGTAGAATGATTTATATTCCTTTGGGTATATACCCAGTAATGGGACTGCTGGGTCAAATGGCATTTCTGGTTCTAGATCCTTGAGGATTGCCACACTGTCTTCCACAATGGTTGAACTAATTTACATTCCCACCAACAGTGTAAAAGAGTTCCTATTTCTCCATAGCCTCACCAGCATCTATTGCTTCTTGATTTTGTAATAATTGCCTTCTGACTGGCATGAGGTGGTATCTCATTGCGGTTTTGATTTGCTTTTCTCTAATGATCAACGGTGTAGAGCTTTGCCTCATATGCTTGTTGGCCGTGTAAATGTCTTCTTTTTAAAAGGGTCTGTTCATATCATTTGCCCATTTTTTAATGAGGTTGTTTTTCTCTTGTAAATTGGTTTAACTTCCTTGTAAATTCTGGATATTAGACCTTGGCCAGATGGGTAGATCGTAAAAATGTTCTCTCATTCTGTAGGTTGCCTATTCACTTGACCTGACAGTGTCTTTGTATAAAGACAAAATCTTTCTTCATCTGGGTAGACATAACAAGCACAAGCCAATGGTGATTGGTAATGGTAATGTCCTCAGACTCTACTTAAACATTTTTTTGCTCATTGACTTTTAAAATAAGTTATTTAGTTTATGATTTTTTTAATTTTACTTTTATTTTTATGAATTTTTATTTCAGAACAGCTTTAGGTTTACAGAAAATTTGCAAAGATAATATAAAGAGATCTCATATACCATACACCCACTTTCCTGTGTTATTAACCTTTTACATTAGCATGGCACATTTGTAACAGTTAATGAACAAATATCTATACATTCTGAGCAGCTAACATCCATACAGTATTCAGATTTCTTTAGTTTTTAACTGGATGTCCTTTTTCTGTTCCAGGATCCCATCTAGAATACCACATTAAATTTAGTCATCATGTCTTTAGGCTCCTTTTGGCTGTGACAGTTTCTCAGACTTTTCTTGTATACTAGTTCCTCTGTTTCCAAGGGGGTTTGGTTCCCTCAAGTACCAAAATGCACAGAGGTTCAAGTGCCTGATATAAAGTGATGTAATATTGACATATAATGTATGCACATCCTCCCATATACTTCACTTCTAGATAACTTGTAATACCTAATACAATGTAAATACTAAGTAAATAGTTATTATACAGTATTTAAGGAATAATGACCAAAAAAAAAGTCTGTGCAAGTTCTCTACAGATGTATTTTTTTTTCTGAATATTTTTCTTCTTTAGTTGTTTTAATCCATGGAATCCATGGATATGGAGGTTCAACAGTATTTGGTACCTTTGGCTTCTTTGAAGAATACCAGTCAGGTGTTCTGTGGCAAGATCTTCCAGTGGTTTGTCTAATGTTTTCTCCATGACTAGACTGGGTGTTTTAGACTGGTTCTTTAATAAGTTTTATTACTGTTTAGGTATGGTAATGTCAACAGATAGGGAGACAAATGCCATTGTAAAAAGAATTTGTTTACCTACAGATCCCAAGAGAGGGCTTCCATGTCATGTTATGGGACCATCTGGGGAAGCACTGGTGTCAATCAGGAGGTGGGGTGGGATGTTGTGGGGAGGAACCTTTGTTGTGGTTTCTGCAAGAAGGAACAGGCAAGGCAGGGTAAGCAGGCTTAGGACTGGTTAGTTTGAATGACTTAACTGGGCTGGAGCTTAGGGGCTCCCTAATACCTAGTTGCCTGGTACCAGGCCCTGGGGTGATTAGGTCCAGTGGAGAGTGGCCAGGGGTGTGAAAGTCCTATAAAGTAGCTAGTTGGGGTGTAGACTCTGGATTGGCGGGTTTGTATTTGAAAAGCACACCCCTGGAAGGACTTCCCCTGAGGAGTTGGGGGCTGGGGGAGAGTTGGGGCAACAAGGGAAACAGAAGGCCAACGTCAAGTGACTCCAACATATCAGGTTGTCCAGAACTAGCTGTGTTGGGTACATGCATATAGGGTAGATTTTATAGGATGAAGTTTGTGGAATCTAGAAACATGCCTAATACACAGAGACCACAGAACAAAAGTGACATTTTCATGACATCATATCAAGGGCACACACTATTAGCACAACTTCTCTGTTGAGTTTGACCTTGATCAACAGGAGATCAGGCTCTCCTTTTGTAGACACCTCCTCCACTTGATGCTCACCTTTAACATTTATCTCATATGTTTGAAGCTTTGCATGCATAAGCATGCATATAATTTTCCTGGGTTTTGATATTGCAGAAGAATCAACCTCTTGATGGTGAGTTCTAGTTCTTAAAGTTGATGTTCTCTTTGGTATGGGTGTCTCCATAGAATGGAGTCTTGGGCTTCAGGCAAGCTGAGTTTACAGGGGAGACTTGTGTTTGGACATCCTCACTGTTCCCTAAAGTAGTAGTGCTTTATATATTTCCAATTGCTGATTAAACATCTAAATAGATACCTGTGGCTCTGTCAGGAGTTTGGGCTGATCGCCACTGCAATGAGATAAGATATATCCATAATACTTAGCTTTCAGTCAAAAGACTCAGAGTGGTAACCTGTTTCTGCATAGAAATGTAAAAATTCCTGGTTACAACTCTCTAATGTTGGTGGAGATGGTGAGAAATATATAAATTTCCTTACTCTGGTTTGGAAGATCCTGAGTTGAGGAAGGCAGGACATGGAGTCAACTGGTGGATAATTCACCTGCATCTCTCTTTTTCTCATGCCTCAGGGTCTAAGTCACAGAACTGTCTGTGGAACTCCCTCATCGACGGGCTCACAGGGAATGTCAAGGAGAAGCCACGGCCAACAATTGTCCACGACCCTCGACCCCCAGAGGAAATCCTAGCTGATGAATTGCCACAGCTGGATAGCCCAGAAGTCTTGGTGAAGACATCCTTCAGGTTTGGTGGATTGTGTTCCTTCTCATTTGCTTGTGGAGTTGTTTCAATCCAGTTAGATGCAGAGTCAGTGTGGCCAGCAAATTACTTCATTTCTTTGAGCTGAGTAAAGTAGAATTGATGAAGGAGGGTTGGAATCGATGCTAGCTGGACTTCTGGCTGGATTTTCTGAATGTAGTGAAGATCTTACCAGTAGTTAAGTTACTGTTGGTATTTAATTGGTATTGGGATTTAAATGCTGAGGCAAACGATTTACTGATGTTGGCAATTTGAATTGGATTAATGAGTCTTTTGCTTCAAAGGAGGATGACGCATCCAGATAAGGGTGTAGAGAAAAAGCACGTGCTGAGAATTAATTCAGCTCTGTGTCTTTAGAGTCTCTTTCTGGGGGAAGGTTTCCAGTTGTAAAAGATGTAAGAGCTGCTCCTGACGGAAATGAAGTGAGAATTTTCTCGTGTTGCTTCCCAGGCGGCTGTTGATTCTGTTCTAGTTCATTGTTTAGCCTTGCATCTTCCTGCAAGGTCTTTTGATATTGTACTCCTTATAACTCGGTCCCTTACCTTCTTAGCCATATTAAATGAAAATCAATCTGGGTATGAATGTGGTGTAAAAAGGTGATTCCCACCCCCCACCATGGGCCTTTCAGACTCACATTTGAACAGTATATTTATAGTATTACTGGTATCAGTAATTAAGACTCAATCATTTTTCCAGCTTGCCTGCTGCCTCTCCTTTCTTCCTGTTATGTCACTTTTACTTATTTTACTTTTCTTTCCACTATAGTCTTTCATACTCTCCACATGGTTAGAAGAACATGTAAACCTCGTTTTTCTCTCCCCATAAACAATTCAGACGGCTATTGGAGTTCCATGAAATATATTTGAAAAATGTACTCTCTTTTGCATCCAGGTGATATGTGTAGTTGCTCAGTGAGAGCCATTATTGTGTGAAGTTTCCTAGTGTCGACTGAATTATAGATGAGTTCTAAAAGAAGTGATAAATAGGGATTTGGATTTCTTTATACAGTGTGACAAGTGCATTGGTGAGACAAGAATTGCAGGCAAATGCTGTTTTTATTTCTACTAAGGGCTTGGCTATTGCATCATAAGGTTTTGAATAGAATAAAATCCACTCATCTAGAGAGAAGTACATCTTATGAACTTGAAATTCTCAGCAAGTGACTGTAGTGAAAGAGGAGACCGTGAATAGCGTTCTCGGTCTATATGTTCTCACCTTGGAACATCTCTTATGGAGTCAGTTCCTTCTCCTAAGACTTCTTTTAACTACTCCTTCCACCCCAAAGGAGGTTCATCATCTTCTTCAGTAAACAGGCAAAGAGTTAATCTTATGAAATGAACGTCTTATTTGCTCACCCAACTCCGTTACCATCATCTTTTTTTTTGGCATTCTCTTGGTGCTCTTTAATAAAGAGGATGTATTGATGCCCATGAGCATCATTTAATCAGTTAGTTGTATCATGTAGCAATGTTTTGCTTCCTGAGAGAGAGTAAGTTATAAATTGAATGTCTGGACTTATTTTTGTTTCCTTGTAACACTTGGTGCTGTAGGAAGAAGACAGCAGGAGCATGCAGGTTATGCCAACCCTTTAGCAATTGAGACAAGAAATCTATTAGCATTTATTTATTTTTTTATTGGTACCTTTAATACAACTGTGTACTATTCTGTAACTATCCTTTCCTCCAAAGAAGATGATTGATTTTGATGGCAATGTTAAATGGCAGATACTCTCTTCTGCAATTGTCCTTAGCTGTCACCACAGTTCATGTTCACCATGATCAGTTGTGAGATTTGTTGTACATAAATTACTACAAGTACTCAGGTATGGGAAGAGTTTATTTATCAATAAACACATCAGAGCAGAATTGAGGTTACCTTACAGCTCCTTTGTAGGGTCATTACAATTGAGTGGTACCACAATAAGGGTAAGTGATATCTTTGATTACTTCCTTCTCTTTCTCCTTGGTCATACTTGGAGGGCATTTCGGATATAGGGCCATGAAATATGGTCATCAGCTCCACCAAACAAGATACAAAAGACAATGTCAATAAGGCCAATGTGCCAAATTATCAGGAGGTCCAGTCTTTTCTTGGTGTTCTTGTCCCTCACTATTTCCAAGGACCCCCAGCCTTATTGACAGTGGTTCAGGAATCATCACTTATTCTGCTATGCCTTTTGCCCCTTGCTAGGGAAATGAGGTCTCATGTTGAATGTGGACTTTCTGACCTCAGTGAAATTAGGCATCTCTGTCACCAACCCAGATGACCTCTTCCTTGTGATGTCTCCTTTCCTTGACTTTTGCTGTCTTTTCCTGACACCTGGCCTCAGCACAACCACAATTTTTCTCGGACATATTCTAATAATGTCAATTCTCAAAAGGAAGAGGTAGGATACTTAATTCCACTTTTCCTAGAAATCTTTTCTAGCTCTCTGCAAGGTAGAGTCAAATATACACAAGCTACTTCCAGGACAAAATGTATATTCTTGTTTAATATTTGCATTTAGCATTTTCATTTAAGTAGTTCTTTTCACAGCAAAGGGACAGTCTGCTCTAAATCTAAATTCTACTTTCTGTTTCCGAAGATAGAAAATGTTTATAAATTTATCAATGATGGGTGTTTTTCAAAAAAATTTCAAACATTTTTATGTTTCAGTCTCCCCCAGGTTCTGTTACATCAGCAATAGCTGTTCTTATTTGTCAGGTTTGACTCAAAAAACTCAAGGATTCCGTCCATTTCAGAGACAAAGAAACGGGCCCAGAGAGGTAAAGCCTATAAAAAAATTGCTTGTAGATTACTGGTCTCCAAAGCAGCAGCAAGGAGTAGCTTGGGCAGAGTTTAGGTCTTACTTTGTCACCCCACCACAAATAAGTATATCATCTGTACACTCACATAAAAAGCATGCTTGTGATTCAAATGCAGCTTCAAGACATGTTCCTGGGCCTTCTCTTCCAATCAGGCTGCGATCCCTAGGTATGGCCTGTAAGTAATCTGAATTGTCACTGGGTTCATGTCATTTACTAATAATGCCAGAGGGTATAGCTGAAAGTGAGTATTTGACACACTGACTTAGAAATAAAGATTTTGGAAAATGAAAGGCACCAGCTTTCTTCCCCAAGGGCTGTGTGTTGATAGCTGAGGTTTGTGCAAACACCATCTCAACTCTAGGTATGGTCCCTGACAGTCTTCCCTCTTGTCCCTTACCTGGCTGGCAGTGCTGATGAGGCAAATGCTCTGTGTATTGGAGCAGACAGTTTACCAGAGTCTTGGGAGGAAGGTTCCAGAGCTTGAGGGGAAGGTTTCCTCATGGTTGCCTGATTCAGATCCTAGCCAATATTGCTGGAAAGCAACACAGTTCAGTGCTCAGTTGTACTAAGGACATTAGTCTTTATTCTCCAAGAAAGGGACATTCTAAGCTATCCAGGTGGGAAAGTCTGACTTCTGATAATGGCTGTACTGGGCTTCAGTACCAACTGCATTACCCCTGGCGAATTGCTTCATCTCTTCAAACCTCTGTTTTTAATCCCCACCACCTCCCTAGCTTTATAAAGGCATAATTGACAAATAAAATTTGTATACAATTTACGATGTAAAATAATATGTTTTGTTGTATGTATGTGTTGCAAAGTGATTAAATCAAGTTAAATAACATATCCACCACTTCACATAATGCTCCCCCCTTTTTTTTGGTGGCAAAATCTCTGTTATCTTAACTGTTACACTAAGGTTGGACTTGAAGAGTGGTCTGATGGTTCAAACTTGAGTGTGCTTCACAATCACCTGAGGGGATTGTTAAAATAGACTGTTGGGCTCATCCCAGGTCTAGGTGGGGTCCAAGGGTGTTTGTCTCTAACAAGCTTCAGGTGATACTGATGCTGCTGATCCAGGATGACACCTGGAGAACCACTGCACTAGGTGAGATTTAGGATCCCTTTGAACTTGAGAGTACTTTGCTATGTTAATTTGAGCAGGTCACTTACCTACTGATATGATTTGGGTGTGTGTCCCCACCAAAATATCATCTTGAATTGTAATCCCATATGTCAAGGGAGGAATCTGATGGGAGATGGTTGGATTATGGGGGCGATTCCCCCCATGCTGTTTCTGTGATAGTGAGTTCTCACAAGATCTGACGGTTTTATAAGCTGCCGGCATTTCTCCTGCTTACTCTTCTCTCTTCTGCTGCTATATGAAGAAGGTCATTGCTTCCCCTTCGCCTCCCACCATGATTGTAAGTTTCCTGAGGCCTCCCCAGCCATGTGGAATATTTAGTCAATTAAACCTCTTTCCTTTATAAATTACCCAGTTTCAGGTATTTCTTTATAGCGGTGTGAGAACAAACAAAGACACCTATTCTGGCCTGTTTTAAAATATTTGAAATGAGAATAAAGAGACCTCCTTCCTGGGGTTTTGGGAGGATTTAAAGGAGATAACACATGTGAAAGAGCCAAGCACAGTGTCCAGCACCCAGAACAAGCTCAGTAAGTATTAATTTGGGATTCATGCTCAGCACATGCTGGAATCCTTGCATGCCCTTGAGCCTACTCATATAAAGTTAAATAGGATCAAACATGGGTTTTATCACTCCAGGTGCAGTTACTGTGAGCCCTGAAAGCTTACTAAACATCTGGTATGAAAAGTCTGTTTTCAAAACCTGAAATTTTTGAAAAGAAGAAAGTGAGAAAAATAAATAAAGAAAAAGGCTTCAGTGCCTGGAAAATAGACACTCCTGGGAACCCGCCTTGGGTGCCTCTTTCCTTGTTTCTCATATCCTGTCCCTTTAAACCTGTTGCTCTGCCCAGGCTTTTCTTAAAAGAGAATAGAGAATAAATTGAACCTGGGGCCTAAGGAAGATAAAGTCCATCCAGTCTGATTAGTGACAGGAATCTCAATACCTGCCACTAGAGGACCCAAGAGAACAGGAAAGAGCTGGCTGCTGAGAAATGCTTCTCTCCTAGCCTCTGGTGTACACATTCCCAGAGGTG